GTGTGTGTGTGTGTGTGTGTGTGTGTGTGTGTGTGTGTGTGTGTGTGTGTGTGTGTGTGTGTGTGTGTGTGTGGTGGGCTGCTGAGACCACTGGCGCCAGGAGGGGTGCAAGAGGTCACAGAGGATGAAGATTGTAAAAATACTGGCAGCCAGTCGGCCTTCATCCTGCTGGTGCACAGTGCACGTGTGTGGTGGAAATGAATGCCACAGTGCCATGTGGGAGAGGCTGTGTGTGTGTGTGTGTGCGTGTGTGTGTGTGTGCATGTGTGTGTGTGTGTGTGTGTGTGTGCATGTGTGTGTCTGCTACACACATCGTGTTGGTAACATTTTGGATGAATAAAAGCCCATCCAAAGTTTAGAATCTATTTCTGCTCCACTAATTATTGGTACTTGCCAACATGAAATTGGGCAACAACAACAACAACAACAACAACAACAACAACAACAACAACAACAACAACAATAATAATAATAATAATAATAATAATAATAATAATAATGCCCACTCTTGTTTGTCAGTTTTTTTTAACATAAATCCTCATAAACCAGTGGATAAACTTTTACTGAAAGTCTTTGAAAGAAGTCTTCAGGTGTACATCTACAGRTCAATTATTAGAGTCAACTTGACAGCTTTCACAGCTACATAACCAAAGCAAACACAAAAATATTTATCATGCTATCAGTTTTACATACTGTATATCGAGCTAAAATCTGATTACAACTAAAACTCTAAGCACTAACAATTTTTTGGTTATTTTTCTTAACTTTGGCATGCAAGGCAATACATTTCTTCAAGAAATGTTACTTTGATATAAGTTAAGTTTAAGTATAAAAGGCACACTTACACACACGTTTGTTCTTCAATGCTAATGGGGACTTTACATTGACTTCCATTCATTTACTGGTCATTTCTATAGTCTAACCCTGACCCCTTACCCTAAACCTACCCCCCCCAGTGTTAAACCTAAACCCTGACACACCAAAGATATTTCCCCCAATGGGCTTTTGTCCCATAAAGAACAGTGGGTCCTCACCACCAGGCTGTGTATACCAGGAAAATGATCAAAAAGCGTCCTCACCAGGTAGCAAAAACATGTACATGCTTTCATTCATCTCATATTCTGCTCCCACTTTTCAGAGGGCTATACCTGCAAAGCTTTTGTCTGTCGCCCCCTGGTGGTGAATTTTGATCATTACAGGATGCCTGCCTGAACTTTTATAAAGGGTAAAAACAAAAAAATCAGAGCCACTCACTGTTTTACTGCAGACACAGACAGTAAATATAATTTCCGATCTTAATACTGAAGTTGGTTCTATTAGCAATTTTAGGATTTTACAAATGTTAACATTTAAGAAAATGTCAGAAACATCAAATCGTGGAACTAAAATCTTACAACACATTATCATTAGGCACAATGGGCCTCATGCAAGAACATGTTCGTATTTTTATCCTAAATTTCTCTTACTTTTGTTCGTACAAAGGGTTCGTACGAACATGTCACGTCAGATTCAACAAACACTTCTATATTCAGGAAACGTGCGTAAATGAGCTGCGTAATTTACACCTGTTCTATCCAGCTGCTCGTGCACGCGAGAGGAGATTAGCATAATTACCACCCCAAATACACCATATGAGGCTATGATTCCTGCCTCAGATATCAGGAAGTGTCCATTCATGAAAATGACAGCGAAAACTAAAAAGAAAAACTTTACGAGTTCAGAGATTGAAGTCCGTCTGTYAGAGATCCAGAAAAGAAAATCTGTCATTTTTAGCAGCTCAGCTGTGGAATAAAAAAGAGCTGCTAAAAGTATAAACAACTGTGTTAAATCATTTTCATTTATTCAGAAGCCGCAGCGCAGCGCTGCGCACCGTAACCCCCACCGAAATATAAAGTTATTAGTGAAGAAAACCCGTCTGGATAACAGCAGACTGACTGTTCGTAAAACATACGACAGGTCTGGACCACTCGTAAATTTTGTTCGTATCTGAAAAAAATCTTAGAATACGAAAACATTGGTGAATGCCACAAATTCTCCTAAATCACTCGTACGCACAATTTAAGAACAAATCTGTGCGTACGAACGGTTCTTGCATGAGGCCCAATGTTAGAATTCAATATAACATAAAGTACCTAATGAGGTGCACTGGCTTGTTGCTTCAACTTTACACTGAAAGAAACAATGAAAACATTTTGTTTCTCTATTTATGATGATAAATTAAGAAAAACACATTTGGCTGAATGGCAAGAACAAACAAGATCATTTTAATAAAATGGATCTATACACACAAAAGCCTGATATAAATAATTATCCTACTATTAAATAAATATTTATTATTAGTAAGTTTAAGGGAAGTGAGCATGTCTCTCTGGGAAAATGCAGATTTTAGAGATGTAGAGCACTGATGGCAGCTGTGGAGCACTAATTGACTTGTGTTGGAAAGTCACAGGTTTGATTCCTGACCTACACTTCCCTTGAGCAAGTCATGTACTCTCTAACTGCTCCAACTTGTGTGTGTACAACGTATTATAAATGCAGAGAATACATTTCATCATGGGAAATTACAAAAAACAACAAAACATAACACATTATTTAGGATTACAAAAGTTTGTGTGTGTGCTCCAAATCCCTTCCAGACACTGAATTATTGTTTTTTATGTGTGTTATGAGTAATTCATACAGCATCTATTTTTTCTTTAAAATTGATTAAATAAAAAAACCTTAAAATTAATCAAGCAACCAAATAAAAAATGGTAAWTTTTTTACACTTTTGTTTGTAGCAAAAATGGAAAGAATAGTAGGAACAAGCATAAGATTGTGTCATTTTTTACTACATCCTAACGAAACAGACACATGTTTAGTTGCAGTAATAACCCCTAACTTTCAGAGCTCAGAGTGGGAGCAGAAAGATATTTCAGAACCGTGKACAGCGCCACACCAAGAAAGGGAGCTGTTCGCGGTTCTGATTTTAGCGGTGTCTAAACAGTTTTTAAATACATGCAAAACACACAAACATGTACTCAACAAGTAGAAAAAGTAAATATACAGAAAATATTTCAACTGAAAATTTATGAGGAATTACTGCAGGATCAAATGAGATGCAGAGATGACTAAAAACACAGCAATTAGAATGTTTTAATTTCTAACTCTGAGAATGAAGTCACAGCTTCAGAAAAAAAGGGATGTCCTTCATAAATCACTGATCCACTGACGTGCTCAAATAGGAAGAAATGGAATCCTCTCATAGATGGATATATATTTGACCATTCAATCACATCAACAGCAATGTATTCTGTTTAAAATGTTGTTCCATTCTCTGTATAAAATCTTCTTTTCTTCAGTAGTATAAGGCACGTAATATTTAATGAACTGCACCACAGCGTGTTTTAGCCTGTGCAGGTCAGTGTCTGTGTGATACATTTGATGATCCTAGCTAAAATAAAACAAATAGCTGTCAGGGCATAACTTAAGTTTTAAGTCTCACATTGATTTTTTTCTCTTTGTATTGTTTCTGGCAGTTTTTACTAAATTACTTTCTTTCCCCACAAATGATTACCATGAAATGCTGAAGGTGAGCATACATCCAGACTCACACCAAGAACCTACAGGAGAAAAAGTCTGACAATATGATGGAAAACAACCTGAGTTGTAAAGAACTTTGATCTTTTTGTATAACAGACAAATCTACAATGACATTACATTCAAAGTCATTCCTATCTTGTTCTTGTTTTATTCATATATTATCTGTGTGAATGAAGTGTTACATATTCAGTTTAACTTCTCATCAGACCTGTTTGATGCTGGAGCTACTCAGGTCAAACAAGACACCAGAGGTACTTCTATTGTAAAACATGACCATGGCCACTAGAGGTCAGTGTAACGAAGATTTAAAAAAGTCTTCACCCACTGGAGCGTTTCTGTGTTTCATAAAGTCCAACACTCACTTTTAGTCTGTGCTTTAGATTTTTTTTCCCTGATAAGGTTTTGATTCTTTGAAAGATCTAAAAATCAACTCTTGGATGATTAGACAAGTTCAGTCCTGTTTTTCTAACTGAGCTGCACATCTTCCCCTTTTAGGGCCTAAAGGTTTTTCTCTAGTTAATAAAGTCCAATCATTTTATTAGCATTGGATAACTTTCATCTGTATCTGAACAACAAAGAAAATGATCTTAACATTTCTGTAACACTTTATAACTACACCTTCTTTAGCCTTAAACATTAATAAATTTTATTAACCTTGAATATATTAAGGATGATTCATAATTATAAATCTACACACAATGATTTCCCTTTAAAGTGTAATTACTTCCAAAACCAACACTCATTATTCATGCCTTATAACTCATGAACCAATTATTCTATACACAGTGTGTGTGTGTACGTATACATATAAATGTACTTTCACACCATTTGACAGACATGTATTAATGTTTGGAGAATGTTTGAACTGACTAGTGATTCTTCAGTGCATTATTAATGAAGGCTGTTATAACTACATCATTTCTGCATCACATATTTTCCTGAACAAGTTCTTGATGRCCTCTGAAATTCAACAGAATAAATACAAGATGCTGTCCTACATTTTATTTTTCCAGTTTTTTTCACAAGTTACATTCATTTGACTTTTTTTTAATACAAATAGCAAATGTTTGATGGAGGTCATAATAAGTTTTAGCTACAAAGTTTTCAGACGTGCAAGGTGAACACAGCAACAAGGAAGAGTTACAAACCGGATGAAAATTAAATAAAAGCACCAAACATACAGGTTTCACCATAACTAACAAAGATAAATAAATAAAACCAAGAGAACCTCAAATCTGAAATTTCAATCAAAAAGCCCAAAATGAACTCTTGTTGAAATGTAACAGAAACACATCAACTGTAACAAAGAAAGCTATTAAAACATGAACTGCATAATGACTTTCAATATACCTAAAATAAAACATGATTAAAATAACAAAATGATATATGATATGACTGATCCTTTATTTTAATAGGACTTTTAAGTTGAAAAAACTATTTGCTGTGTTTTACACACTCACCTCGTAGAAAAGTATAGATTTTAGCTTAACATGTTTTTTGGTTTTTATGAGCAACAACAATTTTATCCCCCCCTTTTCCTAAAACTGAAGCTGCGTTTTAGCTGGCACATGTCCATTAACAAGAGCACAGTTAGTCTGTTTGGATTTGCCATCACTGCCCTCCCCTTCGTTGTTGTTGTGCCAGTTGGCTTTCAGAGGCGTCAGCTCAGGCGCGATCACATCTCCATCCTACGCCRAAACAAAACACAGACAGTCGTATTAAGACAAGCAATAGAGTGTACACAATAAATGTAAAAGCATCATTGCAGACAGGTGTAATTAAACACTAACTCAGGGTCTAACGCAGGGGTGTCAAACTCCTGTCCTCGAGGGCCGCTATCCTGCATGTTTTAGAGGTTTTCTTGCTCCAACACACCTGATTTTGATCGCTGGGTGATTAACAGGCTTCTGCCCAATTTGAAGAGTTAATTCAATCACTGAATCAGGTGTGTTGNCCAACACACCTGATTTTGATCGCTGGGTGATTAACAGGCTTCTGCCCAATTTGAAGAGTTAATTCAATCACTGAATCAGGTGTGTTGGAGCTGGAAAACCTCTAAAACATGCAGGATAGCGGCCCTCGAGGACTGGAGTTTGACACCCCTGGTCTAACATATGGCGTTCAGGGAGTTGTGAGGACAAAATGTTAAACTGAATTAAACACAAAGTTCTGGTGAGGGAATGGCAAATTCATTAGAATGGGCAACAGCGTGCCTCGTCCCGTTAACCACAGTTTAATAAAACATAAAAGCAGCAGCTTTCAGTTTGTCCCTGACCGTTTACCACCATGCTCCAAAAATACCTGAGGCTTTGTGAAGTTTTTATTCATGCACCACTGAATGAACTGCTTCTTCGCGGCCTCCAGACACTTTTCATCCTTCTTCTTGTAGTAAACCCGGATCAGCTGCTCAACAAACTGCTCTGGAAGCAGTTTGGACACCTGACAGGATTGACAGCAGCACATTTAGTAACTTATTTAAATGATTGAGACAAATGTAGAAAGATGAGCACATTAAAGCTGACAGGCAGATCAGACAGAACTACCAGTATTTTCAAACTTCTTCTACCAGAGACTGTCAAATTGCAGTGCTGGGGTAATTTGCAACCCATTAGGCCACCTTTTGTTATGTACATGCAGCCACTACCAGGTAATGCTAAACGGGGGGTGWTGGGTGGGGTGTGAACGATGTTGATCCATTGACTCAGATGGAGAAGAAAAAAAACCCTTGATTTAAAAAAGTGAGCTCTGTGATGTCAGCTTTGGTTCGGACCTGGTTTTTGCGTATCTGGATGGCTTTGGTTGGGTCTTCTTTGCAGTAGAAACGCACATTGTTGATGGGGTCCTTTTCCTTCATCCCATAATCCAAAACAATTACCTGCAAGAGAAATAATTGTTAGATATTAAAATACACCAAGGTGATTTGTCATAAAAAGATGCAGTTGAAGAAAATAACCTTGGACTTTTATGCCCCAGGAAGACTGGATAACATTAGATGGCAAACTCACACTGACTAAAAAGTCCTCAGGCTGCAGCTTGACACCTTGGGTGATGCCCTGAGTGATGGTTTGAGCAAACTCTAACTCCCAACTGTGAATCAATTCCTAGTGTGGAGGAAAAAAAGGCCAGAAGAGTCATGATTGTTTCACCTGAGCATCCTTAAACTGAAATTTGTCAGCTTCACTAAAGCACCAACCCACGAATCAATAACAACAAAAGCCTTTTATTTAAATGAGAAATCTTATTAATCACTTGCTAATATTTTCATTCAAGAAGTATCTCAGACAAGAACCTGGCTCTAGATTTGCTTCATCCATCATGTCAGATATAAGCTGGACTTTTGGGAACCCTGAACGATGTGGGATATTCTAATTATTATTTTAAAATTATAAACTGATCTTTACATACTCAGAAACAGAGGAACAACTCCCCAGATTTATCCCCAAAAACTGCTGCAAGTCAGCCAAAGACAGCTCATACATCTCAGCACTGCTTGATAACCCACAATGATTAGTTCCCAAAAGCACAAACAACCAAAAATGATGGATATACTTTTAAAAGATGGCTCCAAAACAAGCAAACAAGCAAACAAGCAAACCTGAGTGACTTTCAAGGCCTTGTCAGGCTGAGTTTGACCCAGACACTTGTAGAGGTTTCGGCGCAGTATGTTGTGCAGTATCTTCCTCGCTTCCTCAAGCTCCGGAGATGAGGAGTTTAGGATTTGTTCAAACACATTATCTACAAGGCAAGTTAGGAACGTTTTAAAAGCAAACTATGATCCAATCAAAAAACATGCAGTTTCAGTGTACAAAAGTGATTTTCATTTCAAAACATGCCAATTTATTTTAGACCTTGTGTTATTAAATCTAAAAGGGTTCCAGAAACGAGCTTAAAGTGAACCTCGACTATTTGGGAACTAGTGCTATATCGCCATATATCTCTATACGAATTAGCCCGAGCACTAACACAAGAGCTAACAGACTAAAGCTGATGTTCTCCTTCCATGAAGCAGCTCTGTTCCAGCTTCAGGCTGAGTCATTTCTACATTCTGCTTGGCCAAGGTGCTCTGGTTTCATTTAAAATAAATCAGGGCTGATAATCAGATATTGTCCAAAATTAAGCTTCATGGTGCATAGAGCTCGCTTGCAACAAAGGAAAAAAACTAAAAAAGAAAGAAAAAACTTGCACCTTGTAAACATCATAATTTACCCGATATACTTTGCAGCTTTAATGATATGGCAATGTCCATGTGACGATGGGCATATATTTTTAATTTATAAAAACTACCGTAAACAGTCTACAGAACCAAGATGGCGCCAGTGTACACGGCCTGCCGTCTGTCGCTCCCGCACTTTTTATACTTTTTTTTACTTTAACTGTTTTTACTTGATTTTTGCAAAGGGGTAGTTTCATTAATACAGTATGATCGCAAGACACTCTTGGAGCTCCGTAGTTTTTCTGGATCGTCGGCAAACTTCTCACCATATGACCACCAGGACTCTTCAGTCCCCCTGTTCGGGCTACAGGCCACCCATCAGGACCCTGGGCTACCTTGGCTACCTCCCAGGAGGAAGCGTCGCAAATGGTGAGGAAGACGGGCAAAGCTGAAACATCATGGGAATTATTCCACCAAGGATCTCTTGACATCACATCAAGCTGACCACCGCTTCTCCGACCTGTCCCAGACATCGGATCCCCCTGGCTTGATAGTACACCAGTCATCAGCTCAAAGCAGCACTCTGATCCACAACGGCCGCGCCACCGAGGTGCAAATCTTCAGAACCTGCGGCGCACGGAGGCTGTCGGCTGCGGGCCCGATCAGGATGTGCTTGGTTAATGTCAGATCAGTAACGAACAAGACATTTATTCTGCGGGAGATTTTCAGCGAACAGGAGTTGGCCTTTCTCTGTATTTCTATATGTACTGTAAATATAAATGCTCCATATTTTTAACTGTACTCTGTATTTTGACTATGTCCTGTTGTGTCTGTCTATTGTACAGCAATTTGGTTGGCCTTGTGCTGTTTAAAGTGCTTTCTAAATAAAAGTGGTACAGTACAGTATTTTTACAGTCTTTAACAGTTGAAGTAAATGTATATCAAATAATGTCTGAYGTTACAACTAGTCTGGGTTCCCTTTAAATTGTGCGTTAAATTATTTTTGTTTTGATATAGTTGAGAACCGACATGCAAAAACCTTTTTTTTTCTGATAACTCACAATGAAAAGTCAATGTGTTCTGATACCAACAGAAACATTCAGTATATATATATTCAGAACAAGTGTAAACTTTCAGCTTTCTGTACAACTTCACTCCAACTGAAGGCACAAAAACAGAATAGTTTTAAACTGTTTCTGCAGCTGGCTGCACGCACCTTAAAAAATGGATCCAGTCGACTTTGATAAGAACTGATATTGAACAAACTCTCACACCTGCTGTAACATCAGGGCTGAGTGTTGCCATTGAACACTTTGTAATTCACAGCTCAGTGACTCCTTCATTTCTCACTCTTTTCTGCATCTAATACATTTATATTGGTTTAAGTCCTGGAAATATTCTGGTTACTGACCTGTCAGTTTGGTGTAGGCAACCATATCATCTATAGCTGTGGACAGAGTGAACATCTTCCCATCAGAACCTTCAATCTGGATGTGTTTATCTGCTTTTAAAAAGGCCTCTGTGATCCTGAAACGAGAACACACCAGTATTGTACTGAGAACCTCTCTGCRGGCACTACATTAATGTAAACCACAGCCTCGGTGACTTACATGTGCTCGATGATGTTGCCCACTTTGTGCTGGTACGCTCTCCGGTGCAGACAGTTTCTTGTGTGGAACATGTCATATAGATTGCCCACCTCCTGTTGAAAAATAAATTAAACTGAATTAATAAGAAAATAATCCTAAATTTCCAGCCACCAGTTGTCAAATGTTAATGCTTTAGACAGAAATGGAAGACTACAGCAGCACCTTGTCTCTAGTGCAGATCTGCTTCTGCCCATCAACCTCACACACTCTGGCAAACTTCAGGAAGCGATGATAATCAAAATTATTCTGGATACCTAAATGGTAACAGTCCCTGAGATAAAACAAGAGGGGGGAAACGTGGACGTTATTAAACCAMGATCTTTAGAACTGAGGGGAGTTYATGATCAGTTAATATCTTACCTGTTGTAGATGGCTCTTTGAATAACTTTTAAATAGGTTGACAAACTAGTCTGATTAAGGTCATCTTAAAAAGACACCCCCTGAAACTCACTGAGGGTCTGACACATTATTTGACCGATCCCCACAAATTTAGTTTCTATAAGGAAAGAACATGACAGTGATGTGTAATAATGTGAACGGCTCTACCAGAAGAAGCCTAACATTATCGAGGTAGTGACAGAAACTGTACTGCCAAGTCCTGGGAAGGTGGGCCAGCGTAGCACCGACACCTTCGGGAAACACCCAGCTGCAGTTTTTTTTAAATCAAAATACCACAGCCAAACAACTTTCAGATTTAAACTTTGGGTGTGTTTGTTGTTTTTGAGCCCTATAAATACAAACTTTATTGGCCCAGAGACAACCCAAAAGTATGCAGAGGCTCAGATAAAACTGTAATAAGACTCAGGTTATTTTGAAACGTCAAACCCTAAAAAGATGTACTTGGACGTATTTTGATCTCTGCAACATAATGAGGAGACATTCAGCCAACTCCTGCTGCAGACAGCAGCAGCTTGAACTATAGCAGCTGAGTTTTTTCCACGCCTCTGAATACCAGACTGATTACTGTACTCTGTATGTGTTTGAGCCCAAGAATAGTTAAAAGTGGCATATAATAGACGTGGGCTCAACAGAAGAACTGCAGTTGTGCACTTAAGTTATAGTTCTCCCCAAAATGTATAAATACCCCCATTCTGAATCATGTAAGGGGGATTCCCCCAGAGTTTTAAAAGTGAATTTCAGACACTGAAACAACTCCARTCTCAAACTAAGAAAAAAAAACAAGTACCGGTAGGTCCTCTGGACAGGTTCTTCTTTAATGAAACATTTCRTTTCTCCTCCAAGAGACTTCTTCAGTCTGAGGAGTTTCAGGTGAACCTTATCAGCACCGAGTTCACCTGAAACTACTCAGATTAATTTTTCTTTTTGATTTTTCTACCTGGATTACTGAGATGCATCAGGACATCCAGTCTCAAAGGTTTCATAGCAGTTCATTTGTTAAATTTCTCACTACACACCTATTTATATTTACACAAACTTCTATGGTAAGAGCAAATAGCAGCAGCAGCCAGCTTTGGAAATTCTTGTACTGGGCCACTTTTAGAAATGACCACGGAATGAGAAACTGCAAACGATAAAAGGTTTTTAAAACAGTGATCACATGATCTACTATCAGACATTTTGATAATCCAGAATTAATTTGTTCCCCCCAAGGTTAGAGTGAGCCATCTACAACAGGTAAGATATTAACTGTTCATGAACTTTACACAAAAGCACACATCAAAAGATCTGAGAGGGAGCCAAGCAACAGTCACTGTGCGAGAGGTGGGGGTAAACGCTGGACAGACTACATGTCCATCACAGCGGGGCGGCCGGGGGTGGGGGGGGCTTCACCTGGCAAAATAGTCCCACTTATCGACATCGATGCCGTTCCTTTTGTTGGCTACAATCTCATACAGGAAGGACTTGTCTGCAGGACGGCCTTTGTACGGCCACTATGGAGACAGAGAGCAACAGATGCATTGACTTTACCAGATACGTTTGGCGGGTAAGAGTTCTCACAAAAACAACAACAAAAAACTGAAGAACGGTAAAATAGAAATACTGCTAATTTTCAAACAACCTTTATTTAAACAAACAATTAAAAAAAAAATCAGACGTCATGAACACTGACACATAACTGCATTTTTGTACAAGACCCAGACTTCTCACCTCCTGTCCTCGACCTGAATTAGTGTTCAGGGGTCCAGCAATCTGCTCTTTGATGAAGTCCAGGTCCTGGGGCAGCAGCAGGCCGTGCTCCTCCATGACTGGCTTCAGATTGTTGTCCTCCACCAGGTAGTCGAACATGGCCAGAGAGGCGGTCTCGTGCTGCAGGACGTACAGACAGAATCAAACACAGGGGACAAGCCGTTTGAAAATGAAAGCTCATTGACTCAAACAGAGGRAAAAAAATGTTTATTCTGGATTAAAAACGACCAGACGCTGGTTGTAAATAATGTCTTATCTCACATCTGGCAAACGGACTCTTGTGTRTTTGGTAGTTCTTATCTGTTTGAACACTGCTACATTATCTCAACTCCCAACTGTTCGGCTATCAGATAATTTACAGCTTTGGGTAAAAGCCCTGACCTGCATAATTTAAACTCAAATAAAGGTCAAACAAATGTAGACAGCTACAGATTTAAAAGGAATATAAAGTCTCCTGTCTCCTTATAGCTAAGAGGAAACATTTGAATCTGCCTGCATTCTTAAGAGGTTCAACATCTGTGTGAGATAGTAAAAAAAAGAAAACTAGAAAAACTAAAGTTAGTTGTGGTAAACCAACATTGCCCAGCCAAAACAATGTGGCTCAAGGTTTTTTTCCAGCCATGTCTCAAAAATAATTACAGACTAAAGAACGGTCTGAAGTCCATTTCAGATGTTTATTTAGTTTACAAAAACTGGATGGAAAACAACTCGCCAATACAAAAACTTAAAAATCACACGAACAATTTCAAATGAAAACAGACAGCCTAAAGACTGGTGGACGAACTTGTTTCACCTTACTCCRGTTACAATGAGAGCCTGTGCTGGTCTGTTGCATTTGTGAGCTGTAGATTAGGCATACGCCCAGTTGGCAAAAATAGTTTTAATGAGTCACAATTCTGGTTCTTAACTTAAACAAAACAAATACTCAAACACACAATCAATCAATCAATCAATAAGAGACTAGAAGAGCTTAAAGGTCTGTGAGAAAAAGGCACCAGAGATTCTTACCTTCCAGCTCTTCGATGGACGTGCTTTGGGCATAAACATGCCATCAAACATGTGAGAGAATGGTCCGTGTCCTGCAAAGGGAGCAAAACGATCTTAAATGAAAGCAAACATTGCTCTAACCCATTGGTACACACTTAACTGGCAATGAATGTATGGTAGTCTGCTGCTGTCTGTGAAAAGAGCCATTAAATTAGCGACAGATGCTAAGCTAAAGCAGGAAGGAAAAGTCTCTAAAACCTTGTGTAAAGTTTAGAATACAACATGCCTCCACATATTATTTATATATTTATACATACGTACGTATGCACTTACATACACACACACACATGTAAAAAAATGTGAAACAGAGTTTTTTTTTTTTTTTCCCCACTCACCCAGGTCATGACAGAGTCCAGCGATCTGAACACACAGGACGTCCCTATGAGAGATGAGCAGTTCCGGCTGCCGCTCATTCAGAGCTTGAACAAGTTTTCCAGCCAAGTACCCAACCCTGCATCAGTGCACAACAAAAACAACTTCAGCCCTGTTCTGACGGGATTACTTTCACCTACAGGAACTACATGCGATTTGTAAAATTTGCGGTGATTTTCTGTGTCGCTAAGCCCGTGCAAATCGGCCATGTCAGTAACTTGTAAAGTAAAAATTACAAATCACCCACTAAATTTAGCTAAACTCAGAGGACCTGTGAGAATACTAATCCAAAGTGAACAGGCAATGTGTGAAGTGGACAGAAACGGGTGGGAGCAAATATGTAATTAGGCTTTTTTGTTTGTTTCCCGGGCGCATTTTTATTTGCTTTTGGCAAAGAATGGAGAATGCATTGAAAACCTTTTGGGTCCCGGGCCAGCAAAACCCTATCAACCCATAACGTACCGCATCAAAAAAAGAAAAGGCTGAAGAGGAGCAAAATCAGATGCAAACGGTGGCTTATATCATCCATTGCACTGCGCAGTAAGACATTTTCTTCTGTTTCTAGCCTTCTGTTATACAGCTCATCCTGTGCGAGTAGGGCTTTATTTCACACAATTAAAATAATAAAACARAAACATTGTTTTATGATGACCCCAACAGGAACTTTTGTGTGGCCAAGGCAAAAAAATGATAGGCAAATTTACTTTTTGTCATCTGTTGTTATGGCTATAAATGTATGTTTTTGTTATTATGTTTTACCACATTCACTTCTTGTACCAATAAATCATTTGAGCTATAAACCAAAGTCTGGTCCTTTACCCAATGCTGTGTTCAAAACGATTGTGGGACGCTCCAGGGAAAACATAGTACGTCCCCCCGAGCTGCTTGATGTTTCGCAGTCTCTGAAACTGAGGCGTGTCGATGAATTTGATGAGGAGGGGGTGCAGCTCCACATGGCCGTGGATGGGGTCGTTGAACACCTGGTGGCAGAAAAACGGGTGTGAAAACACCAAGAAGGAACAGGCGAATATTCGTATCAACACAAAGAAATAGCAATGGGTTCAACCCCAGATTTGAACCTTTTTTGTAAATAAAGGTTTATTTTTAATGTCAGGTTTTTGTAAATATTCTGAGCAGGAGTTTTAAGTAAATCTCAGTAAAAGTCCACTATTAGGAGTGAGGCATTTCTCCAAATTCTAACACTTTTTTTAAATTAAGATTTTACAGCACAGACAAAAACTAAAGAGGAACTGGATGTGCATTTTCCTTTCCTGTCCTCCATAACACGTGTTTGCTCTTAATTGCTGTCTTGCATTTTTCCTTCTTTCTGTAACCTGGAAGGTTTGGCTCTGAGAGATATTCGGCACCTTGTTTGGTTCAGCTTCAATGTGCCACAACTTCCTGAGGCTGTGCAAGATCCGCAGACGGTCACCCAGACACCTGAAACAGACCATCAGATGAAGGAGAAGAGAGCAGAGTGGACAGCAARGCATTTTATCTTCATGAGGCTTTTAGAGCTGCTGCACAGAAAAGAAAAATAAAAACAGTGAAGCCTGCATTAGATGATAAACTTACTTTATGCCAATTTTCTCAAGGTCTGCATCAGTCAAATACCGCAGCCCAATCCCTGTTATTTTTTGTGCTTAATTAAGAGAACATGAAGTTAGTAAAAACATCACAAGCGTGTAGCCTACGTCCAGAATAACACGCTGTTTAGATATAACAAACCTCTAAATGCACTCTCCCATTCACCAAGACCTTCCTTCCGCAGATACKTGCATGCTTCCTCCACTCCCCAGCCCATGAAGTCGGAGTGTAGCCGGACCGCCGACACTTTCTTCTCCGGGGTTTTGAACTCTTCTTCTGGGCTCGAACCCGGCTCTATCGGTCGCTTTCGACTCGCCATGTTGCCTTCACAAACAGGCTGGTTCTCGTTCAACTGAAGGTTAAAGACACGAACAAACCAGAAGCGACAGCGTTTACAGCTGATCTGTCAGTCCTGCAAGCAGCTATTCAAGCGCGGGGAAAAGACATAATCCCCGGCCGGGTTTTGTATTTTTTTTTCTAAAGCTGTCAGGTTGGATAGAACAACAAAGTAACATTTCCGGTTTATATTTTTAAAAAATAAAAGGTCTCCATTGACACTAGAAATAAACCTTTTGTTGGGGTTCAACATAAAAAATAATACAGCACACATTGTATAAAAATAGATCACACWCTTGTTAAAATAACGCCTTTATTTTATCCATGACTAACTAGTCAAATGCAAAGTGATAGAAAYTGTATATTTGTTCTTATTAGGCTTTTTATTTGATATAATTTTACTTTTTAAAGCTTGTTTGTGTACAATGAAAATATTAGGATTATGCTAAAGTTTTTTTTAATCATTTTTCATTTTCTCAATTTAATGGCGTTTTAAAGTTGATCCTTGGGCTCACAGATTTGTTACAAAATGTGTAAAATATTACAACGATAATGATGGATTAAAATTATTTGATCATATGAATGTTTTTGTCAGCACGTCATAATTAACAAAGCGATAAAGTCAAGTGCACTGAGACCTTTTRTTTTTACTGCATGAGCATTTTATTAGTCAAACCTTTTGCATCCGGTAGCTTGTTTGAATTGATGGTATGACGTAGTTCCGTTTGGTCCGACACGAAAAGGGCGGGGCGAAATGAGGCATTCAATGTACCTCGAAAACGTGCGATATACAAATAATGTAAAAGCTGCATTATCAGTTTCCATCCACTCTAAAGCTTTTTTTGTATTATTAGGTGATTTATTTGTTTTTGTTGTTTTTAACCGTTAGTAAAAAAAAGAATCGATAATTTCAGTATGCATATTTTACAACAAAATGAGCCTCAGCAATATAATGTTGCCTAACCTTTTCCAGAAAYATTTTTAAAACTAGTTATTTGTCAGAAAATAGTGAAAATGGAATAAATTAATGCTAAATACAACTAAAAGTTTATATTAAAAATAGGAATACACATTACAATGATTTGTATTTTCTTTAGGAAWGTAAATAAAATGGTAATTTAAAGAGCTCCAAAATCAGCGGTATTTCCGAGTAACCCTTCTTGGCTGCAGACAGCGGCATGGGGCGGGGTCGGACGTCTGACACCACCCTCAACTCTAAAATTAACCAACCCCAGATGCTAAATACCAGAGCCCTATATTGGGCTCTGCTAAATACTAAAATTAACCACGCCCAATTTTTTAACCCTCCTATTAAACTTCCCTTCAAGCCATGACCACACCCACTGAACGTCCGACTCCGCCCTAATCTGCAGCCTGCAGCCGGGGGTTCTCTACGTTCAACAATTTTGACCAACTATTTCAAACTGCCACAAGATGGCAGTATTGTTCAGGTCTTAGTTTGAGTTTGTCTTTCCAGTAATTATCCATTAATAAAATGTGCCAAAGCACAACATTATTAAATACTGAGCAATTTAATGTCATATGCCACGTGCTTTATGTTTAAATTGTAAATTTATCAACATCATAAATGACCTGTAGATACTTAAATTGGCTTGTTTATGTTGAAGGAGTAGCTAACATGTTTAAAATTAAATTCTCTGTAAGTAAAATGTTGAACAGCACAAATGTGTGCAGTTATAGGAATATCAAGTTTCAACTTGCATTAACAACGTATACATAAATTACAGTAAATACAAAAATAAATAAATAAAAACTTTATTTTTTTCTTTTGCAGGCTACGATTCAAATCACACTCATCAAAATTCATAAAAAATACAGCAGACTTATTAACCTGTCTTATATGTTTAAATTTACCTGGCTTAGAGTCCCAGCACAGCATGAATTAAATATGCTGACAGCACACATTTTTTCTTTTTTTGCTAACTCATCTGTGTTTTTGTGCAATTTCAAAAGAAGCCCTCTGTTGTTGTTGTTGTTGTGTTTGACTTTGTGCCCTGATTTATGCAGCACAACTCATTACATGAATCTAAAGCTACAGGATAAGTGAGGGTAACAAATTACTTTTAATTCCACTGTTCTCCATCTATAATCTCCATTAATGACACTAAACCTTCTGTTTTGTTCATTCGTTTGGACTTTAAATCTGCACGTGAGGCAACAAAGGAAAACCCTCTCAGCCTCCAAGACTTAACTCGGTAAGTATCCATAATCACAGTAAATATTTGGAATACTTCACCATCTTTAAAAGTTCTAATATGTGCTGCTTAAGGAAATTGTCAGGGAGCTCCAGGGGCCTTCAAAACTTTAATACTATACATTTCTGAGACCTTTCAGTTATTCTCCTCTGAGTCCTGAGATAAGATCTTTGTTTTGTGTAACAAACTTCTCAAATAGGAAAACCACTAATAGATTATTATATAAATCACCTGCTTAAAAGAGAAACTGAACAAGCATGATATGATTTCTTTTTGGAGATGATTTCATGTAAAACATTAGAATTTATTTTATATTACCTTGGACAGCTATTATAATTAATTATTTAAGATGTTTAGACAGAAAATATATTTAAGTTCACAAGAATAGTTTCAGGAAATGAAATTATATTAATTTAAATGTAAATGTGCTTGTTTCACCTCCTGTGTTTTCTGTAATCTGAGTAAAAAAAAAACAACTAAAGGTTATACATAGTTTGAGGTTCAAATAATTTATTGTCAACAGCTGAACAACAAAAACAAACATACAAAATAGTCCAACACACATAACTGCCTTGTTAAAGTCATGACATTAAAAACATAATGTTACAAATATCCTCTGCACACATCACCTTAAACTTCCACAGCAGCGCAGTTGTTGTCACAGCAAAACGCAACGCAGTAAATCTATTGTTCACACTGACTGTTGGTGCAAAAGAGCAGACTGAACATAAACCAACACTGTAAAGAATACTTTATAATAAAAGATGGTATAATAAAACTTGACTTTAGCTTCCTATTCAGCATTTAAATGTAAAGCATAAACATACCAGCKGCTTTGACTCTCTTGGATACAGATATGCACAGATGTTATCAATGAAATTATTAATAAATTAAGCCGGGGCTTTTCAATTATATTGCTTAGTGGGCCACAGTTACTCAAAGCCAACAGCAGGGGCCAGGGGTGGCGCTGTTGCCCAATGGTGGTAGGGGAAACGCTGCATTATGTAAAAAAAAAGAACAAGTATTATTATTTTTTACCTTTTAAAATGGCTTATTTTGTTGCCCTGAAGCATACAATTTAAATAATGGATTCAAAATTCAATAATAATAAAAAAATCTTAAAACTGGCTGGCCGGATGTTGAAGGGCCCCGAATTAAGCCAATCATGTCATTAGCAGGGTGATGCATGAAGAAATAATAAAGGATATAAACCCAATTAGACATAGAGCATTTTTTCAGAAGATCAAATCTGCATTCAAATATGCTAGAAACCACTGAAATAACATTTGTGTGATGCTTCCAAAACATTAATAAATGTTGCCATAAAATATTCCACCTGTTCAGTTTAGAAGCTATAGCATCACACAACATAAATTTAAACTGGCTTTCCTAAAAGTGCTTTCCATTAGAGAAAATATGATGTAAATGTGGCATTTAAAGTTCTGTTTTTGTGCAGAGTTTTGAAAAGCATTAAAATAGATGTATCTGTATTGGTCCTCATATTGTATGTGAGCTACAGGTGAGGTCAAAGTGAATTCATGGAACAGAATATTCAGTCAGGCAGGCAGGGCAGCRGAAACCCTTTAGGTTTCACTTGTCGCTCATTTTGTTGTGGTTGTRGAATCACCCAATACAAKCAGATGCATTAAAAATGGTGCCTTRTATTGATGCAACACTCAGGAGAGTTGGTGGACTTGAGATGCAATTATCCCAGAGTTTGGGGATATGTGTTATTTCCTCTACTTAAACTGGCATTTCTTTTCGTCCATTTTTGTCTGTGTCAGCCCCGACAGTCTCAGTCTGCTCCAGGTTCTCCTCAGCACTGCAAAYGCTTCGCTGCGTCACGTTAGAGAAAAACTTTTGCTGCGACTGGGTGCTGAGGTCCAGCAGGTCGAAGGAATCGGAGGAGAAGAGGCTATCCTCGCTGACCACGCTGGAGGGGCGGCTGCGGCRGCCCTCGGCGGCCCCTGTGGCCAGTAGGAGATTCTGCAGAGCCTCCGGGAACATTGCGAGGGCCGGACAGGGCTGGGACGGGCTGGGGCTGTCGGGGAGATCCAGACTGCAGGAGAATTTGCCGTTCCGTTTGAGAATACCCTTGCGTCGCCTCACCGCTTCTGTGCGCATGGCGAGGCTGTCCTCTGCAGCTGGGGAAGGGGTTTGCTGTTTGTGGGAGCCCGACTGTCCCGCATCGCCATCTTTGACTCCCGCTTCGGAGCCTTTTCCTTTGGCACCATTACCCGACTCGCCAACATACAAGTTCTTCAGGATTCCTTTCTTTGGCATTTTAAATGAAGGCTGACTGAAYGCAGAAGGATGTGGAAGGCTTCTGGGCAAGTTATCCGTGCGCGTGTGAGGAAGCGTTTGTGTCTGATGAGGTTGGGGGAGTGTGCCGCACTGCTGAGAGGAAGAGTTCTCCTTCGTCGGGTTGTGAAAGACCGAATCCAAGCTCCTCTGGTGTTTCAGTATGCCTTTAGGCTTCCTTCTTTCACCGCTGGAAATCGAAGAGGCAGCTGTCGAACAAACACCGCCACAAGCTCCCGGGGAGTTCTGGGGAATGACGTTCTCTTTGCGGGACTTTCTGAGGTTCGATATTCCTCCATGTATCCTTCCCAACCTGCCACAATCGTTCTTCAGAGGAGAGCTAAAGTAAAACGTCTCGGGACAGGAGAGGTCTGGGGCCTCAGGGTCGACAGTCATGTCGGCAGTGGCGCCGACCCGATTCTGCCAGTCGATGTAGCGAGCCAGCAGGGGGGAAGGGCATTCTTGGTGCGGCGATGAAGGGCAGTCACACACGCTCTCCTCATAACCCCAGTTCACCCACCAGTGGTTGGCCACGTCTTCTATCGTGGCCCTTTCGTCTGCTCGCACCGTCAGCAGCCAATCAATGAGAGCACAGGCGTCTGGAGGGAACAGAGTCAACTGTTATCTTTCTAACAGCTTCACAAACAAATACAGTTAACACACGGAGAAACTACATCCGGCACTTTAAAAAGGTACAAGAAAGGACACTGTAAGGGTTCACCTGAGGGTGGGTTGGGTCTGCGATAATGGCCCTGGCTGATCTGCTCTGTGAGCTTAGCGTGATTGGCCCCATCAAATGGCATGCTGCTGTAAATCAACGCATACAGCAGAACCCCCAGAGCCCAGCAGTCCACCTAACACAAAAACACAAACAAAAACAAAGCTTTATAAAACCTCTATTACTGATACATACGTGTATAAAGAGAAAACAGGCCCTTTAATATAATTTGAATTTTGGAACCAAATTGACCAAATGTACAGGTTAATGATTGTTGCAACACAGTGTGAGAACTCCTTTTACTTTACTAAACAAGAAACATCCACACAAATTTATGTAAATGAGGAMTGGTGGCCCATAGACTACAGAAGCTGAGCCTGAGGTCAGAAGGTTGTCGCTTCAACTATCTGGACTGACAAGTGCCCCACCCTGGGCCCTTGAGCAAGGTCCTCAACCTCCCAGGTAACCTTAAATGGCAGCCCTCAGCTGAGAGAATTAATTTTCCCCACTGAAGGACAATAAAGGTTATCTAAATTTAAGATAAGTCAATAAAATACAGCATTTTAAAGAAATGTGACTTAAAATTTGAAATTAATTGAGTAACAATTACTCTGTACTGGTAAGTATGCTTTACTTAATACTAACTGGTAAATCAAAGTAGTAAAATATACTTAAAAGTGCTGGTGCAAATTGTTATGAGGATTTTATTTAGTAAATCTCGCAAGTTTTTCTTTTCAGTGAATGCTGTTTTTTATTTAMGCATCCTTTTTCTTAGAAAAACATTTAATAAAAGAACCTAAAAGGAACAGCTTGATTGTTTTTTGTTTTCTTTTTTCCTTTTTTTTAGTCTGAGTGTTGACTCACCTCTGGTCCTTGGTATGGCAGCCCCTTCACTATCTCTGGGGAGGCATAAAGAGGACTTCCACAGTAGGTTTGCAGCAACGAGCCCCTCTGGAAACAGTTGGAAAGGCCAAAATCAGCCAGCTGCAGAGGAGAGATGAAGAAAAGCTGGTTACAACTTTGTGGATTCCTTCTAGTCACAAACTATTCAACACAGTTTAACCTTTATTAAATATTTGAACAAAAAGATGGAAACAAATATGATGAATAGCAACCCACATGACCTTGTCAGTTCTGCTGCAGCAAATGTGGACTTCAGCGTGCATTCACATGATTTTAAAACTGACCATTAATCACACCATGAAAGCACAGATATGCAGGTGTGCCTGTGTTCAACACACACTTAAACATTACAAAATCCTGGACAGATGCTGGATGAGTGTGTGCAGCCAACATGGAGACATGTAGTGAAAGCAAAACAACTCAACACTTTTTTGTTTCAAACGATAATCCAAAAATAGATACGGTAAGAGGAGCTTCTGCCAATGTGAGTGTGTGAGAGAGGAAAGAGAGGAGCCAAAAACACAGAGCTRCTCACACTTACGCAATGGAACAATCACTCACTCAAGGCTGCGAGGAGTCATACACACACGCACACACACCTTGCTATCTGAAAAGATTATGAACACGCACGCTACTCGGGACCTCTGGTGTTAAAAATTTTCAACATGACAGCTTTATTTCCAGAAGCACACTGTAGGTGTACTCACAGAGGACGAAACATTTAATCAGAGGCAATAACAATAACAATGTGTAGAAGGAACACATGCCACTGAATATTTGGGTCTGTGTTGTTTGTTGGGTTTCTGTTCTGTTGTTTGGAGGTGACATTACAGCTAAGGAAAGCTGCTGGAAGCAAACAGTAGATAAAGCAGCCATCAAAGAAAAACTCAGAAAAAACTCCTGTGGCCTCATGTATAAACGGTGCGTACGCACAAAAAAGTTGCGTGCGCCATGTTCTACGCCCACGTTGGGATGTATTAAAACCAACGTTGCGTGAAAGTCTGCGTATATTTACGYACACTTTTCACCTGCCGTGAGAATGTGCGGCAGCCACACAAAGTTTTTCAGTCGACAGTTTTAACCCACAAACTCATGAATTTGACCTGAATCCACAAAAATACGACTCTGTTGTGTTTTCTTCATGTAAGGAGCGTCTGAACACGGTGTTAGATTTTTATTTTAGTTTGAGTTTTTATTGTTTAAACTYGAACGATCATGAAACTGAACCCCAGGACAGAAAACCATCTAACTTCAGACAAGAAAATAGATCACGATCAAAAGAACCTCAGTCCAGTCTGTAAACTGTAAAGCTTTTAAATTGTTGTCACGTAGTTGGAAACACACGCAGAGCGCATGGCCTGCGGAGCGCACACACAGCTGAGGAAAATAAAATGTGTGTGAATAGTCTAAGAAACATTTTTAATTTTCACTGAGAAAAAAAAACGATGTCAACTCAGCAGATTAATTCAGAACAGCTCAGCTGTGATGATTCCTCAGCTCCACAAGGCGCAATTTATTGGTGCAGAAAGTTGTGCGTATGRATCAATGTCAGTTGTTCCCAGTCCCACGCCATGGCAGAAACTTGCAGCGCTGCGAGTCCAACGCATTCTCACTCCCCCAGCGTCAACATACTGTATTGGCGCTTGGTCAGGTAGTCTTTTGTGTCCAGTTTTGACGTGCCGGGTACCCCCTCGCGTCAGTTTTTTACGAGATGAGGCAGAGGAGGACGGGTGCATTGTTCTATTTTTTTTTTACAAGAGTAGGAAATGCGCGTTTCTTCACATCAACTATTTAATAAATATTTTTCTAAGTTCTACMAAAGTCATAAGTTTYTCTGTGTTTACAGTCATTTATTAAAGACGTAAAGGTGGAAATATCTCTCAGCCTTATGCGCCGTTGAAAATAAAAGCACACGCGTGTACACACCAACACCCACACACATCTTTGCGAGTGGCAGACTCATTTTTACACCCCACTACTTATTTAGACAATTTTCCCACTCATTCTCCATTTAATTTATAGTTTTCCTGCATCTAAAAATCATTTCTGATCCCACAGAGAGGACAATCTGAGGAGAATCTCACACGCTGGACACATTTAYATCTATTTTACACATTTAAATGGAGGCGTGTCAGGGGAGGTCTCAGGTGTGTTCAGTTCCACGTTCATTGGGATGTATAAAGGAAAGGTGCACAGGAACCTGCGTGCGCACGGTTTTATACATCTGAATATTTTGGTGCGGCGCACTTTTCTAAATGTTCGTACATCAACTTTTAGTGTGAAATCTGTGCAATTCTTTTTGCATGAGGCCTCAGAATTTCTGGATAACAGGTCAATCATGGAGTCCTGGGGTCTCATTTATAAAGGATTGCGTGGAAACCATACTAAAAGTGAACGTACGGCCAAAAGGCGGAAATGGCGTACGCCAAAAAAAATTCAGATTTATAAAACCATACGTACGCACGTTTCTGCGCATCTTTCATTTATAAATCACAGCCTCACGTCAGAGTTTGCGCACGAGGTCCCGCCTCAGGTTCTACCCTCTACACGCCCACATTCAACCATAAACAGTCAATGTAAAGTACCTCATGAATGTTAAGATGTATTTAAATCAGTCAGCTGATCAATGCCAACAAAAGTGATTGGTTCAGACACGCTCCGTTGTGCGTCTGGAGGATGACAGGTGCTGACTGACAGCTGCTCACGTGAACAGAATGTCTGTAATTTACACAGATTTTCCCTCATTTTGCTTTAGAGTAATCTAATGATTTTTATAAAAAACAAAAATAAAAAACCACAGCTTCAATTCAATCTCCCATCAGAGCCTGCAGGACGATAAAAACAATAAATTCAATTAAATAAGTCAGGTAAAATTAGAAATAAGTCCCCCGCTCTTCTCCTCGTCCTCTCCCCCTCCTGCCTGCTCTGTTACCCGCGGCAGACCCCCGCCCCGCGCGCGCATGCATGCACACACACACGCTCGCACGCACGCATCCCCCGCGCGCGCGCGTGACAAACACGGACTGGATACACGCGCTGCGCGTGTATCCAAAGCTTTTGCTGTCCTGCTKTTCTTATCGGGGAGGGGTCTGTATGGGTCAGGGTCGTCTAAGGAGGAAGCAGATGAATGGAGTTGCGCACGGGAACTTTTATTTAAGTCTGATTCTGAAGGTAAATCAAATATCCGACAGTGATCATTACACAGTGTGGCTCTAATTCCTCACTTCACCATCTGTGTCGCAGTTTCCCGTCTCCAAAATGAGCGTACGCATGGGTCAAAGCTGGCGTGAGGCACCGCACATTTTCACGTCAAGTTTGGATTTTATAAATCACAACCTTGGCGTAAAAAGTGGCGTACGCAAGTTTCTGGGCTCAAATTGTGCRTACGCAAGTTTTATAAATCCGACCCCAGATCTTCAAAAGCAGAAGTGGTGAGCCAAGACTTTTTGTAGAATACTTTTTCTTTGCAGGCATACATGGGAGCATTTAAAAGTCAACGTGGTTTGGAGTCAAACCATCAACCTTGTGACTGATAAACACTTGAACCCCTGAGGAATGGTCAAGCAGAGGCTTTTTTCATTGGGACAACCATTAACTGAAGTTTAGTAAAGTACTGAATTGAAGGTTTTTATGTGAATATGAGCACATTTCCTCTTTTTTAACCACGTTTAAGTGAGCTAGCCAGCCATCAACCAAAATTACATTATATTTATCTAACAAAAACAGATTTTAGATTGTTGTTTTCTAACTACTTAACATTAAAATCTCAAGCGCACACTACAATGATGTGACCAAAACCCTTAAAGGTCTAAAAAAAACATTTCCTCTTCTTTTTTCTAACGTGCACGCCACAAAGTAGCTGTCAAGCAGACATAACACAAACATAAGTTCCACAGAGCGTTGGTCATTGTCTGGTGCACATGCTGTGAAATGCCAGTTCTGTGAACCTGTGGTTATAAAGTATGCACTGAATGAATAGCTGATGTTTTTTTTAAATTATTATTATTTTTCAAACAGTGTGCCAAGATAGCAGCTGATTCCACTGCATTGCCCTTTGGCCATGCACAGCTCCCATATAAGGACTGCAACATCCAAATCAGGCAAAAAAGGAAAAAAAAAAAAAGCCCGGGTTACTTTATAAGACCGTCCACTATGTTTATTCAGGTTCAGTGCGAACGGTATAAAAACATTACTGCGGGCAGAAAGAACTCCAGTTTATGCTCAGTATGTGCACGTTTATTTTTAGCGCCGAACATAGAAGCAGTGGAAAACAACTGCCTCCTGAAGTTTATTGATGAGGATAAGAAAGAGCTCATGATGTGTTTAACGCTCAGGATCAGCCATGATTTAAACTAGGTACTTGTTGCAAACTTTGAAATCGAACATAAAAAAAGATTACTGGTGCATTTTGAAAGTGTTCTCCTTATCCAGATCTAATGGATATGAAATTTTTAAATTCTGGGTATGCACTCGATGTAAACAAAGCACTTGGCAGAATCCAATGAAAACTGCGAAATTTGAGTCATATTATTAACCTTTATTAGACTGGATGTCATCTGTGTACAGAATCACATGATAGTTGGCATTCAATCATAGATTTTGCTTACAAATTATTAATACTCATTTTCCCATTAACCTTTATTATTAGCAAAAAGTGGCAGGTTTTGTTATTTACTTTAACAGTTTTCATGACACTGCAAAGAGTACCTTGGACAGGAAGCATTTCAATTTTGTTAGATAAACTTCTAAATGTAAATGTGTTTTTGAAAAGAAAACATCATTAATTTTCATAAAACCATCTGGTTTATTGTATCTGTTGGGGTTACCGTTTAATCAGAGTTATTGAACCCCCCAAAAAGATTCAGTGATTTGTCAAAATTTTTTTTTTCAAACAGCAAGGTTTTGCTTTGGTTTAGTGATCGATAAAAGCAACATTGAAAACACATGATGTAGTAATTGTGTGTAACTAAATTTAGCCCAGCAAAGTCACAATTATTCAACACCTACATACTGTATTTAAAGACTCACATTTTTAACTTCCAAATTAGGTCAACTTTTTCTGTCACAACAACTCAAGTATGTATAAATAAACATTTTTGTTGTTTAGTGAGGTGTTTTTGTAATTTATTGTCATCCACTCTACAAAAATGTCGGCCAAAGCTGAGGGGGTTGGAATATTTTTGATTGCAACAGTATATCATGCAAACCCGGAAGACTCACCTTAACATTAAAGTCTTGATCTAAAAGGATGTTCTCGAGTTTGAGGTCTCGATGCACGACACCGTTCTGCAAGAAAGAAGAGGAAAAATTGTTTTTACCGGGCTTGCTGAACTTGACATAGATTATTATAACAGAGGAAAAAATTCTCCAACAGGAAGATCAGATACAAAACGTGTAGCCGCCCGATGCAAAGAAACTTGSAGGAAATCGTCTTTTCCCCCCAACTGTTTCATCTTCGCCAGTGCATTTAATGTGGAGGAAATGAGCCCTGACTTTTTAGAAACGTTTCTGTGTGTTTAAACTAAGCACAGATTAAAATAAATAAGCATATTTTCCTAACTGGATTATTTTTACATCTACTGCTATTGCCAGGTCAAACATCTTTCATTCTTCTCTTGAAAAACATCTCTGTGTTCCCTGCATTCCTCCGAGGCACATTCAATAATTCATTCATGCCAGAACGTTCCTGTCTATTTTGAGAGCGAGCATTGGGGGGTGTGGGGTGGGGGTGTTAGGAAAAATACCCCCCCCCCCCACCTTCCCTACTAACCACCAGAAACTGGCTGCTCATTTGAGTTTAATGGGAGGAATTTGTGAAGAATCCAAACAAACAGAAACATCTTTGTCACGCTCTGCTCAGCTGACTGTCAGGTGCAGCTCCTGTGCATTACCAGGATATTTGCATCTCCTCAGTAACTCCTACCCCCTTTTTTTTGGCACGTATCCTAATCTTGTGTGGACAACAGCAATCAAAACAAAGAAACAAGAGAAGGATTTGTTTCTTTGCCAAGGCATACAATATGAAGGAGGCAGGTCCTGCAACTGTGTCAGTGTGTGACGGCAAACAGCGAGTCAACGCCTAATAAGATCTTAACCCAGAGAGAGCTGTAAACTAAAGTCAAGTCTCGCCACAATATTATGATTAGGATTTAATGGATTAAGCAGGAAAGTATTTGCTCGATTCACCACTCGGCACGTGCCCATATGTGCTGCCCCCGTTTCTGCTCCTGTCCTGTGGCACGTTTGACGAGCATACCTTGTGGCAGTAGTGGACGGCAGCTGTGATCTGTCTGAAGATGCTTCGGGCTTCTGGTTCTGGCAGTTGCTTCCTCTCCTGGATGTAATCGTACAGCTCCCCTCTGCTGGCGTACTCCATCACGATCACGATCTTGCCCCGGCTCTCGAACACTGTCCACACAGAACACAAGGGGGTTATTTTTGTCCAGTTTTACACTCAGTGGATGTTCCACGTTTAAACATATAGAAACTAAAAACCGAATAAGTTAGAGTGGAAYGTTTGACATTTTAAAACCTACAGCATCAAGAAYTGTTCAGTCATTTATTTGTTTACTYGCTGTCATCARCTATGGTTTAAATGGTTAAAATCMGAGAAAAGKTTTCATAAACACCTGCAGCTACAGGTGGTGATATTTTTGTCTGTTTGTGAGTATACGTTTGTCTGTTAGCAAAATATTTCGTSAYTATGGACAGATTTTAATGAARCTCTCGGAAAGTRACCACTTGATGTCATGGGCGTAATTTGGGGGGACGGGGGTGTTAYGGGGGTTATGGCCATCACAATGATTTCATCCGTAAACTCCCCAATAAATTTACATCATTTGCTCTAACACAATAGAAAATAACTATCTTGTTGTCTTTAGGTAACTTTGACCTGATTCAAAATTTATGATGTCATATATGTACATATTAAGCATAATTGCTGATAATTACAAGCAGGGTTTTAGTCAGCTCTTGTCACATTTGTTGAATCATGTGTTGTAAATTTCCCTTGCTAAATTGTAGTGCATCAGGTAAATACATACTCTTGGAAACATTAGGAAATGTAGGTATGTTGTGTAATACATCCTAAAATTGTAAAATATTTGCAACTGTTGTTTAGGCTTTTCTTAATGGTTAAACTGACGCGGAACAGRAAAAAGGTGCAGAGYAAATACAAAGAAAACAGGAAAGTTAATGAAAATCATAGTAAAAACATTACAATGTATTTTAACCCCAAAGTGTCCTGAATCATTTTACAATAAAGGATRGGCAGACCTAAAGTTACGTCCTTGCTCGATCTACATCTAACTTTCTTAGTTGTCCTGATTTTGCAAAAGAAACGGCTTGAACTCAGCCAGTTTTACATATATGGAGCAAAAGTCTGGTGTGGTATGAGCATTATTCCCAACACGTGCACTCAGCACTATACGTTGCATAGTATTTTTGTTTTGGCATTAACTTGTTTATCTAAAAAGTATTTTAATTATTCAGACAAAGCCAGGCTAAAAGGAATTATAGTGTCTAGTGCATAGTCTATAGTGTATAATRTAGTATCATTGACTGTGACAGAACATTTGACCCATAAAATGATAATTATTTGATGCAATACTTTATATTTGYTAAAACTTGCAGGTTTGCGGCACAAAGCAGGAAGCTACAGGGCTTTAAACAAACAAGGGGCATTTAGCATTAAGTCATCATAACTTTTATTCTTGAAATGGGATTATTGCCAGCATTACCCCCATGACACTTTTTACAGCTTTATACACTGTCTTACCTTCATGGAAGCGTGTGATATTGGGGTGTCTGAGTGAAGAAGTGATCTCGATCTCTCTCTGGATGTGGATTCTGTCCAGGTCATCAGTAATCCGCTCCTTGCGGATTGACTTGATCGCCACCTTGGAATGGAAACATGCAGCTGGATGTAAAGACTTTCCACAAAAGACTGTTGTTCTAACACATGCACTGATCGATCTGTTAATAAGGATGGTTAGCAWTTTTTTAAAGAAAAAATAAGTAACAAAAAATACCCAATTTCTCTACACACAGGTTTCAGCATTAGGCCATCCAATRGGAGCTAAATCTTCAAATCCAGTTTTATTTTTACTTGTCCTTGGTTAATTTTTCAGATAATATAAGCTTCTTGCATCACATATAAAGTCTTCATTTGAACAAAGACATACCAGTGCACACATACTCCTAATGCACAAATAAAATCTTAAGGTATTAAAGGTGATTATGTGGGGTGTCCAATGAAGTCAGCACACTCAGAAGCAGAAGGATGACAGCTGCAGTGTAAACTCTCTGCTTCACTAATCCCAGGATCTCACTGTACCCGAATGTAACCCTCCCCACCCCCCGCCCCCCACCCCAAAAATACAAACATACACAAGCACCAAAACACACATCTCAACATGATAAGTCTCCCTGTCACAGAAATAACACCACATTAACACAAGGAGGAGGCAGACAAACAGGCACCTGACGGTCTGATTTAAAATACTCTGGACTGAAATACACAATGAGCAGCAGGAGCCTGAGAAGTGTGGAACAACAACAAGTCAGTCCAGGACACGTACTGTGTACGAGTGAGGCTGACATTCAAACACAAAAAAAAAAAGGATCACACTGCAGCTGATCTGCTCAGCCCCCACAGGGTCCCCTGTTGTCCTGGCCTCTTTTCAAGGTCACAGACTGCCGCGTTCTCAGCRGCGGGAAAAACATCTATGAGACACCGGAGGACACAATTCACACGCTCCGTCAACTGCAGCGCTTACGCAATGCAAAACACTCGCCAGTGAATTCCTGAGACCGACCTGACCTTCCACAATTGATGAGGTCGCTGTGTAATGAAGGAAAATTGTAGCTTTTTTTTTGGTTCACGTCTTCTTTTAAAATTAATCTCAAGGCATTTTCAGRGTATTTTCCCACAAACTCAGTCACTCCAGGCTGCTCCTTTAAGGCCAGAGATTATGAGTTTGCACCGCATGCTGTATACTTAGTTATCAGCTGAGTGATGCTTGTCCAGCGTTGGCAAGCCAAAGTGACATTCTGACCTAAATAGCTGAGTAGTGTGAGGAAAGATAGGGAGGGAGCTTGAAGGRAACTCAACAAAGAGCTGAAGGGTTTTTAAATTCTATCATCCCAGTAAGTTACATAAAAGTTAACAAGGTAAAGTTTTAATGTATACTTTTTTAATTAAATGCAAAAAAAAAAGGCAGAAATAATAATAAAAGACTGAGTTAAAGGTTCCAACCTTTAGGAATCAGACAGGGTCATGGTCAGTTATTAGGTCAACTTGTTTTTTTTTTTTTTACCATAAATGTAACACTTTAATACTTATACACAAAACTTAGGAAAATAAAGTTAAAAAAGAGACTACTTGTTCAAGTTTAGGATTGTTTGCTTGAAACAACTACAATGCACATTAATCAGTTATGAGTACAATTAGCTCATCCTGTAAAAATGCTAAATTTAGCCATACAGACTCATTTTCATCTGGTGGCAGGTTGATGGTAAAAAGTGAAGCCTGTGATTTAATATTTCAGCCCTGGGGTCAGACGCGAGTCTGAACCCATTCCTGTGCTACAGCTTGTAATGAATGCAGTTCAACATAAAGTTATCTATATTTATTTTCTCTAAAAGTAACATGTCTTATCCAATCATTTAAATATAAGCATCTCTGAAAAGTAATAAGGTCTGACAAATACTTAAAAAAGCATTTTTTTTTAGTAAAGTTGGCTTAACTGGTTGATTTCTTTTGGTATAGCCCTGTCACAGTGGATGCTAGGAGAGATGCAATAATGTCACACAAACCACGAATTTGACTTCTTTTCAATCAGCTCAGGTGTGACCAATGTGGAGTTTTTTAAATCAAAGATGTCATCTTAAATAACAGGCAAACTGATGATGGATCAAACAATACATTGAGTAAGGGGTTTAAGTTAAATGTTCTCTATTTCAAAGTCACAACTCCTTCAATATGAATAAAAAAGTGGATTATAAATGAGGTGGCTCGCTCATCGTGTCATTTCAAAAAGAGTCACTTATGTGTGGCAGAAGCGTGAGAATGCATTTCCTTTTATGATCTCACTCTATTGTGAGCCAACATCAAAACTTTCCATAGTTGCACACAAGGATGTGATGATGATTCTAAACCTGTCGTTTGACAAATGTAGGAAACATAAGCAGCTACTGCATGACTCATTAAAGAACAAGTGGGGGTAGAGTGGCCCACAGGCTGTGTTGTGAAAGTACAGACAACATGGAGGTACAATTTGCACAAAAAGAGGCACAGACACAGTAGAACAACGTTTCTTTGCTCTTCTGCCTCCTCTTCATCTAACTGAATGAGCTCCAGGGCTTTGATCGTGAGGAAACACAAAACTTTACCCATTTGAGCAACGATGGTTGTTTTCAAAGCAAATGCATGTTAGAAGCCATAATGAGGGATGATAATGTTTTTTTTCCCTCACAAATATGTTCCCATACACAAATATGTATCCCAAGARTCATTAAAGCATCTGCAGAAGATTTAGCGGTGGGATTACTTCGGATCCTTGCCAAACAAACCCTGGGCCTCACCACTCAACTAAACACAGAGTTGTTCCTGTTGTGGCCAGGAGCTGCAGATCTGTGCCATGTCTTACTGAAGGGGAACTGGACCAAAACAAACAGAGGCACTGAGGCTGTAATCTGATTTCTATTTCTTTAATCTGCCTTAACTATTTTGCCAGAGTAAAAAAAAAGAAAAAGTTTAAGGTGGAATTTGGACACATCTTTGTGTTGTCGTGAAAAATTCCCTTTCAATTTAAAGAACCCAAATTGATGTTTTTGTTTAACTAAATTGCTGAGACACTCATTTGGAACAGACAGATCTGTCAGCTTAACTGTGAGCGACAAAGAACAGCTTAATTGATGAAATACCTGCTGGAAAAACACGTTGTGTGCTAATCAAATTAAAGTAGTTAATTTAATATCAGAGCAGCACGTTTTCTTCATGACCCAGATATGAAGACAAGCGCAGCTCTTCCATTTTATTATTTGCATTCAATTTGTTTCAGCCCTCATGGAAACAGAACAACAACAACAAGCTGCTGTGAGGTTTCTCAGGCAGTTTTTGCTCATTTTGCTTTTTAAAAGCACCTCCTTTCCCCCTTTGCTCTAAAAACCACCTCTTCCTCCACCTCCTCACCAAACTCAGACAACAGCCCCCTGGCCTTGTTCCCAAAAATAATGTCCGTTTTGTTTTAAAGAATCCTTGGTATGCACCGGCTAATGGCTCGAGGAATTCAGCTCTCCCCCCGCACCCCTCCCTGCATCCTCATCACATCACATAGCTGCTCTCATCTTTTTCCATGTTCTCCCTTCAACTCTTTCACTTCCTTCTTCACAAATCACATGAAAAAGACTTAAAAAAGGTCATCCGCGTTATTCAAAGATGATCGACTTGTTGTCACGTGTTGCCCAGATGTTGGCTTTGAACACGTCTAAAAATAAGAAATAAGAAAACAATCATTCCTTGAAAGAATACGCATCATCCTCACCAACTTTGAGACTTTTAAACTAAAATCTCATGATGAGAAATGACATAACTAATTTTGATCCATCCTAAAAACATTTCTGCATAAGTTTACGCAATATGGCAAGGAATACAGTATGTGCTTTAAATGACTCAGCTGCTACTGTACCAAATTATGGAACAACATCCATAAAACTGATGTAGTTACAGACATTTTTGTGTTGGATTATGATGTGGCAAACATCTTGATTTGGATCGACTCCTGATGTTAGTCAGTTGCACATGTAGATCTAATGAATGCTTTCTGTAAGTTTCTTTAAACTCTCTCTAGTGGTTCGTCAGATATTTTGCTAAAAGACACATGAACACACATACACAGATATAGGCAAATATATTATCCCGTGCATTTCAAGTCTGTGTGCTCTTGTCAGTGTTTATGACTTGCAGTGAAGGGTCAGACTGAGGCTGAAGGAGGTCTGTCGTGTTGAATTTTATCCCTTTGTTCAAGTGCTGAGTGAGTCAGACTAAAGGCATCTCAGCTGGGCAGAACAGGAAGCACAAACTGAGTTCAGCATCCCAGACACACTGAAACACACACACCAGCCATAAAGAAAAATAATAATAACCAACATGGAGACAGTGGAGCTTAAACCATGCAGTTCAGTTTCTTACATCTCCATCTCGATGGCCCCAACAATATTTTATTCATTTCATATTTTATAATTTAGTTTAAAAGGATCCAAACCATGACTCACCGTTCTCATGGTGGCTTTCTCCACCGCCTTCTTCACTTTCCCATAGGTGCCTCTGCCCAGGGTCTCCATCACCTCGTACCGGTGCTTCAGGTTGTGTTTGTGCTGGTGCTTCTTCACCTCCTCGGTGTCTGCGCCTCCCCGTCTCCTGTCCGCGCTGCAGGGCGGCCGGCTGTCCATCTCGCCCCGCTGGCCGCCGGACGCCGCGTCCTGCAGGCGTCCGAGCTCGGAGCCGCGGCTGGTGCTCACTGCGCCTCCGCCGTGCGCCTCGCGTCTGCCCATCCTCCTCCGGAACGTCCGGCGGCGCGTCACCTTGTCAGTAGCGGCCCCGAGTGAGCTCTGTGTGGGGAGCAGCGCCTCGAGATGCCCATGTAGGGGGGGGGGGGGGGGGGGGGTACGCGGGGGGGGGGGGGGGGGGGGGGGGGGGGGGGGGGACGTTAAAGCGAGGATGTGCTTGGAGTGGGAATAAACTCGAAGAGACTCGTTTGCTTCATGTTGGCAACGTCTTGTCTCGGTTCTGAGCGCAGCAGCAACAGGAGGGATGAGAACTACAGGGAGGTGGAGCAAACACAGCAGCATCCAGGCGCGTCACCGGGATCATTTCGGGTTTCCGACGGAACATGTTATTCTGACTAACAGGGGAAGAAGGAAGCATGCACGGAATGTCCTGTCCTGTCCTACCAACCAGATTCAACCTCATCACTCACACTTTTATTTATAGATGCTTCACCGGGCCGAAAAACATCCGTTTATGAAAGAAGCAGGTTTGAAACAGAGACTTTAAAATAACTCAAAAACACTGTGCGACATGATGAAATGTGGGCATCTTTCACATCAATAGATTAATTAACCAAAAGTGACCACATTATAAAAAAGATTATAGGCTTAAAACATGAAAACAAGCAGCTAAGATAAAAGTTTTAAAAAGGTGAGACACTTTTTTTTGTTTTTACCATATTCACTCAATCAGTAATATTCATGTATTTTCCACAGCTCTTAATTCAAAAGGCACATTTTAGACAACTTATGCTGACTTATAAAAATTTTGTTAGGAATGAATGACTGCTTTTTTTCAAACTTATTAGCATTACAGTATAAATACGTCCAAAACAGGCTTCCATAGTTTTTTTTATTCCATCTTCATCTTGGAGAAAACTTCCATAAACTGGCATTTTGTCTGAATTGTTATAATGTGACAGGGCCTAGCGCTGTGATGATCTGTTTTTTCAGTAGTTTTCTGTTTTCTTGCTTCGATCCCTGTGTTTCTACCAGTAAAGTTTCACAGTTAGTCTCTGCTCCTCAGTCCATACAGTATTTACATCAACTTGCCCCCTCTTTCACCTGTCACGGCTGCAGCCACTTCGCTCATCAGTCCCAGTCCTAAGAATCTCTCAGTCTTCATTCATTCACACCACGTCCAGTTCTCTGTACCTCCTCAAGTCTCCAGTATTGGGTCTTTGTTTTGTTCTGTAAGTTTATTTAGTTTAGTTTAAATAAACTTTAATTTCTTCTTAAACTTCTTGAGTCAGTCTGCATTTCCTTGGTGCAAACTCATCCAACCGTGACAGCGAAACTCACTGACTGCAAATCTAGCAGACGTTTAAAAATGACACTTGGACACAATGTTTTAATTTAAAGGGATTTACTTTATTAACATTTACTTAAATCAATATAGTACATTGTGTCCTTCTTGTCAAAGAATATGGCAATTTTGAAGAGACATTAAAAACTTGKTTTTTTTTTTCATTCTGCTTGACATGTTATTGCACAACCAGGGGTAATGAGAGGCATTTCTGTAACTGTAGCCCACTGACAGCCTCACACATGTCTCCATATGTTTGGAAATTATACTCTGTGGCAAAGAAGTTACTGTTTGGGTGCAGTTTAATGTTTACAATAATCTAAGTTACATTTAACACTCATGGAAGGAAAACAAGCTTCACTGCTTTAAATAAAATACTGTTTGATTGATTGACTACCTTATTTAATTATGGCTATGGCTCAAAACTGAACCCTGTGTTGACAACAGTCTCTTTGTGTGGCCTGKTTGTTGGTAAAAAAATAAAATACCCCAAACAGTGCAGTCCTAATGCACCACTGATAACAAATACATCTGTTAAGTAACAGAACATTCTGTTTATTACTCAGAGACGTGTTAAATCAGCAATAAATAAAAAAAATTAAGCAGCTTAAAACCAAAAACAAACCAATGATACAGCACTGAGAACACACACTGTTTTCCTTCTTTGTGAAAAACAATAATTTATCATTTGTTGTTCCCYGAGACAAGTAAACAGCCATATTGTGCAACACAGACATTGAGATTTGTCATTTTGTGGCTGTTCTTGTTTCACCCTTCCATTTGTTTTCATTTATGTGGAGATTTCTAATTGTTTTAAATCACTTTTATCTTGAAAACATTCTTTTCTTCCTGTTGTGTTGTGTTTTGTGTTTAGACCAGCTTTTCGTCACACAGARCCAGAGAGAGTAGTTGTGGTGGCACCGATTCCCAGGCCACCTCGGTTGACGAGTCACTGCATGTGTCGATCAAGCCAAACTGAAAAGTACGATCGAAAGACTCACGGGTCCAAGATTTGCTTTGATATTACCAATCTAGCAGCCAATCAAAGTGCACTAMTAAGCTTACATAATGTACAGTTATTGTTGCTAATCTTATATCTTAAACACAATAGCAAACTAYTGACAATATAAAAAACTCAACTCCCTATAGAAATGTCTCTTACAGCAACATTGAAAGATTTGCAATTAAATGAAGAATCACAATAGCTGATTTGTAGATTATCTTTGTAAAGGATTAAATGTTATATAACATTTAGTTCAATTTTTACTAATTTTAATAAATAAAATCTCCCGTTTCATTCATAGATCTCATGTCTGTTTGCTGAAAGCTATAATTTTGACTTACATCGCTAACAAGGAGGATCCATGCCTTGATGACAACATTTTGTCTGCGTATAAAAAAGAACAAGAGCAAATATGCATATAGGTTAGGAAAATTGTTAAGAAGATATGTTGCTTGGGCACCAGTTTCAGAAAACAGTATAGTTTTCTTTATGTACCCCTCAGAAAAAGCTTGTGCAATGTCTGGCTCCACCCCCTTTCACACATGAATTGATTTGAGTACAACTCACCTGCTCTGTATCAGTCATCACTCTTCTTAAAATGCATGATTATTGTTGTGTTGTTTTCTCGTGTACAGCTTGATTAGCATGAGGTTCTTACACACGAAGTTGCAGTTTTTAAAATAAGCTTCAGGTACAAGATCAAGGTTCATGTMTACCACAGCACACTTGTTTTAAAAAAGCGCCTCCAAGTGTGTTTTCTGCGTGTTGCAATGACGTTTCAAATGTCTGTGCTGCTTCTTTATTTCCACYGATGTTGCTGTGGCAGCTCATTTTTGACTAATTGCTTCCATTCCTCCAGTTCTTGGCTGCTTGTCTGACCTGCAGGGATGCCGGTGGTCCGCTGGGAGCTGCTCGCTGCCCTGCTGGATGCAGGAAACCACATCCTSCAGACGGAGCAGTGGCTGATGTTCGCTTGGCCTTTTCTGTTACACAAAGTTCTTGCAGTACATTCGGCCTTTAAAAAAATGTGCATTTGTTTCTTATTCACTACATTGCTCCACCAGGTCTGAAGCTAAAATACAGAAAAGCCAGGACACATTGTTCAAGTGAAGGTTTATAAGTAAATCATACACATTAATTGTTAGTCAGTGAGCTTCTTACAATCAACCAAGTGAACMACTAAAGCAATGACAAAAAGAGAGCACACGTTCGCAGTACAAATCAATTGAGTCAAGACTTTAAAAGGGTCAATGTGGGTAAGAAGACGTTAGCGAGACTAATCTGTTCTCAACACACGGAGCTGTGAGTCGGGCGTCCATGTCACGGTCCCAGCAGGCCGTCAGGAGCTCCTTCATCGCAGAGCCCTATAAAGTTTAACAATTATTCAATGTTACTGTTCTTGCCTAACTAAAACATGTGCATGTGTGTGCAGAAGCAAAGCCCCATATAATAAATACCTGTGATAGCGTCCCCCAGTAATCGGGTATGATGGGCCTCTTGTCCATCTCAGACACGATCAGAAAGAGCCTCTCCTGAGTCACACTGGCTTCCAGCTCCAGCTGATAGGGCAGCAGATGCTGTGGAGCAATGCCACCTGCAGATGAAAGCACACATTTGCAAGTTAATTTTGGTCTTCAGTTTGCAGCAGATGTCTTTGCAGCAGAGAGTTTAAATCAGAGGTTCTCAAACTGGGGTCCCTGGACCCCCAGCGGTCTGCAAGAGGTATCTTGAGGGTCCTCAAAAATTTTTACTAAAATTTTAATTAGTTTTTTTATTTTTAAAAATGCATGGAGAACAATGAACTAATAAATCAAACATAAACTTAATGAAAATATATATTCCTATGGCATTTAAGGATTGAAATGACAATAAATTATCTTTTAAAACAGCATGGGGTTTATGAGGGGGTCCCTGGAATTTTTTTCGCCCTTGTAAGTGGTCCCCAGACCCAAATGGCTTGAGAACCCCTGATGCCTCAGCATCGACAATAAACCTGAAGTGGTTGATTGTTTCCTTTAAAAACTAAAAGAAACCCCACCGACAGTTTTTTGTGGTGTTTCTTTTAACCGCAATATATCTAAAAAACACTGACTAACCCTCAAATAAATCAGTGCAGCGCATCCATATCTCCCACAGAATCAGTCCCAGTGCGTAGATGTCCCCCTGCATGAGAAAGGAGCTGCTGCTCAGGTTCACAGAGCCGTCCAGGAACTCAGGAGGCATGTAGTGCAGCGTGCCGAACTGAGCCTGACCCTGCAGAAATGTGACGTTCAGTCTTTATACGTAGTCGATATCCACCGTGCTTTTATTTCGTGCCATCTTGTCTCACCTTCATCTTTGTCACGTGGTTCTGCCAGAAACGATAGCCTGAGCAAAACCGCAGGACGGTGGAGGATCCGAAGTCACAAAGGGCACAGGTGCCATCTGCTTTCACCAGAACATTGAAGCTGCTCAGGTCTCTGTGGGCCACAGGAGGTTTGTGCACACCTGAAAAAAAAAACAACACACACACACTTTACAAAGTTTCTTGTTTAAATCTGCAGTTTGAAAATTGTTATTGGCAAATAAAAGGTGGCGTGAACACTAGATGATCACTCTCGTTGTGATAAATCCTGTGTGAGGATGAGCTCACACACGGCCTTCTTTCTGTGTGAAATTGCTACAAGACACAAAGTTTGGTTGTGTGGAATGCTGGTCAGTACCATGGCTCCGGAGGTCAGAGTGGAGATAGGAAAGTCCCTGCGATAAGGACTGGCACAGCTTCAGTGACATCATCCAGCTGCTGGTGTGTTTACACAGGAAGGAATGAAGAGAACCCTGAAGTCCCAGAGACAGAGATTATTCACACACTAACATTTGGCTCTCTTGTACGACGGAGTATTAGGGCCACACAACGAGATTTTTTTTTAAATTACAAGAATAAAGTCATAATATTACAAAATTAAAGTTGTATAAAAATAGTCATAGTATTACAAGTTTAAAGTCATAATACTGTAAAACAAGATTAAAGTCGTAATATTACGAGAGTAAAGTCGTAAAGTACGAGTTTAAAGTTGTAATATTACGAGAAAAAAGTCATAATATTGTAGTCTTTACACGAAAAAGCATGCAGTTACCACTGCTTTAAAATGAGGAGTGTTGAGCAACTTGTCAAGTTGTTCTTTAGTATTGCTATAAATAAATAGTTAAATCTTTTAGCACATTAGCATCAAATTATCAGTAGCAGGACTCGGAAATTTTACAAACGACTTAAAACTGAAGCCATATTTTTATTAATGGATGCATTGACGGATTTAGTCGAAGCGTAGCTAATTTGGATGAAATCATATTAATCTAACAGTGATGAGTCATCATTGACTACTTTATAAACACAGACACATGGCTGTAC